TTTAATTATAAAAATTAATTTAAAACAATAAAGCTCTTTTATCTTTTCTTTTTATTGTGCTTACTTTTTTTTTTCTTCTTTCTTTGTTAATTTAACTCATCATTTTATATAACTTTTCTTTTATTATTAATTAATCTTATTAGTTCATATTTTTTCTTCATTTTTTCCTTCTAATTATCTGATTAATTATTAATTTTTTCTTCAATATTTAAAAGTGGCAATAAAATTGGTGATGAAGGTGTATCAGGTTTAGGTTCTGGTTTAGCAAATTGCATTAATCTCTCAAATTTGACACTTAATCTAGAGTAAAAACAGTTTATTTGTTTTGGATTGTGATATTTTTAATTATAAAAACTAATTTAAAACAAAAATGCTCTTTTTTCTTTTCTTTTTATTGTGGTTACTTTTTTTTTTTCTTTTTTCTTTATTAATTTGACTCATCATTTTATTATAAAATTTTACTTTTATTATAAATTAATCTTATTATTTGATATTTTTTATTCATTTTTTTCCTTCTAATTTTCTGATTAATTATATATTTTTTCTTCAATGTTTAAAAAGCTACAATTATTAAATTGGTGCAATGGGTGTATCAGGCTTAGGTTCTGGTTTAGCAAATTGCATTAATCTCTCAAATTTAACACTTAAACTTTGGTAAAAACAATTAATTTTTTGCATTGCTATATTTTTAATTATAAAAACTAATTTAAATGAATAAAGCTCATTTTTCTTTTTCTTTTATTGTGCTTGCTTTTTTTTTCTTCTTTCTTTGTTAATTTAATTCATCATTTTATTATCAACTTTATTTTTTATTCTTAATTAATCTTATAATTTCATATTTTTTATTCATTTATTTCCTTCTAATTTTCTGATTAATTATATATTTTTTCTTCAATGTTTAAAAAGCTACAATTAAATTGGTGCAATGGGTGTATCAGGTTTAGGTTCTGGTTTAGCAAATTGCATTAATCTCTCAAATTTGACACTTCACCTTAGGTAAAAACAGTTTACTTGTTTTGCATTGAGATATTTTTAATTATAAAAACTAAATTAAAACAAAAAAGCTCTTTTTTTCTTTTCTTTTTATTGTGCTTACTTTTTTTTCTTCTTTCTTTATTAATTTAACTCATCATTTTATTATCAACTTTTTCTTATATTATAAATTAATCTTATTATTTCATATTTTTTTTTATTCATTTTTTCCTTCTAATTATCTGATTAGTTATATATTTTTTCTTCAATATTTAAAAGTGGCAATAAAATTGGTGATGAAGGTGTATCAGGCTTAGGTTCTGGTTTAGCAAATTGCATTAATCTCTCAAATTTAACACTTTTCCTTGAGTAACAACAGTTTACTTGTTTTTTATTGAGATATTTTTAATTATAAAAACTAATTTAAAACAATAAAGCTCTATTTTCTTTTCTTTTTATTGTACTTGCTTTTTTTCTTCTTCTTTCTTTGTTAATTTAATTCATCATTTTTTTAATTAAATATTTTTTATTCAATATTTAAAAAGTGAAAATTAAATTGGTGCAATGGGTGCATCAGGCTTAGGTTCTGATTTAGTAAATTGCATTAATCTCTCAATTTTGACACTTGATATTAGGTAAAAACAGCTTATTTGTTTTGGATTATGATATTTAATTATAAAAACTAATTTAAAATAAAAAAGCTCTATTTTCATTTCTTTTTTTACTTGCTTTTTTTTTTTCTTCTTTCTTTGTTAATTTAATTCATCATTTTATTATAAACTTTTGCTTTTATTATTAATTAATTAATCTTATTATTTAATATTTTTTCTTTTTTTTTCCTTCTAATTCGTTATTTAATTATATTTTTTCTTCAATATTTAAAAAGTTTCAATTAAATTGATGATGTAGGTGTATCAGGTTTAGGTTCTGGTTTAGCAAATTGCATTAATCTCTCAAATTTGACACTTGTCCTTAGGTATAAACAGTTTACTTGTTTTGCATTGAGATATTTTGAATTTAAAAACTAATTTAAAACAAAAAACTCTTTTTTCTTTTCTTTTTATTGGGCTTACTTTTTTCTTCTTCTTTCTTTATTAATTTAACTCATCATTTTATTATCAACTTATTCTTTTATTATTAATTAATCTTATTATTTGATATTTTTTATTCATTTTTTTCCTTCTAATTATCTGATTAATTATATATTTTTTCTTCAATATTTAAAAGTGGCAATAAAATTGGTTCGATGGGTGCATCAGGCTTAGGTTCTGGTTTAGCAAATTGCATTAATCTCTCAAATTTGACACTTTACCTTAGGTAAAAACAGTTTATTTGTTTTGGATTGTGATATTTTTAATTATAAAAGCTAATTTAAAAGAATAAAGCTCTTTTTTCATTTCTTTTTATTGTGCTTTTTTTTTTCTTCTAATCTTATTATTTGATATTATTATTTCTTCATTTTTGCCTTCTAATTAACTATTTAATTATAAATTTTTTCTTTAATATTTAAAAAGTTACAATTAAATTGATGATTAAGGTGTATCAGGTTTAGGTTCGGGTTTAGTAAATTGCATTAATCTCTCAAATTTGACACTTCAAATTGGGTAAAAACAGTTTATTTGTTTTGGATTGCGATATTTTTAATTATAAACTAATTTAAAACAAAAAAGCTCTTTTTTCTTTTCTTTTTATTGTGCTTGCTTTTTTTTTCTTTTTTCTTTGTTTATTCAATTCATCGTTTTATTATCAACTTTTGCTTTTATTATTAATTAATTAATCTTATTATTTCATATTTTTTTTTCATTTTTTCCTTCTAATTTTCTGATTAAATTTACATTTTTTCTTCAATAATTTAAAAAGTAAGAATTAAATTAGTGATGTAGGTGTTTTAGGTTCTGGTTTATCAAATTACATTAATCTCTCAAATTTGACACTTCACCTTAGGTAAAAACAGTTTACTTGTTTTGCATTGAGATATTTTTAATTATAAAAACTAAATTAAAACAAAAAAGCTCTTTTTTTCTTTTCTTTTTATTGTGCTTACTTTTTTTTTCTTTCTTTATTAATTTAACTCATAATTTTATTTTCAACTTTTACTTTTATTATTATTTCATATTTTTTCTTCATTTTTTTCTTTAAAATTGACTTATAAATTATATATTTTTTCTTCAATATTTAAAAAGTGAAAATTAAATTGGTGATGAAGGTGTATCAGGTTTAGGTTCTGGTTTAGAAAATTGCATTAATCTCTCAAATTTGACACTTTTACTTGAGTAAAAACAGTTTACTTGTTTTGCATTGAGATATTTTGAATTATAAAAACTAATTTAAAACAATAAAGCTCATTTTTCTTTTCTTTAAATTGTGCTTGCTTTTTTTCTTCTTTCTTTGTTTATTTAACTCATAGTTTTATTTTTAACTTTTGCTTTTATTATTAATTAATTAATCTTATTTATTATTTCATATTATTTCTTCATTTTTTCCTTCTAATTATCTGATTAATTATTAATTTTTTCCTCAACATTTAAAAGAGGCAATAAAATTGGTGACAAAGGTGCATCAGACTTAGGTTCTGGTTTAGCAAATTGCATTAATCTCTCAAATTTGACACTTGAACTTTAGTAAAAACAGTTTACTTGTTTTGCATTGAGATATTTTTAATTATAAAAACTAATTTAAAAGAATAAAGCTCTATTTTCTTTTCTTTTTATTGTGCTTGCTTTTTTTTTTTCTTCTTTCTTTGTTAATAGATCTCATCATTTTATTATCAATTTTTTTTTTTTATTAATTAATGTTATTATTTCATATTTTTTCTTCATTTTTTCCTTCTAATTAACTATTTAATTATATATTTTTTCTTCAATATTTAAAAAGTTAAAATTAAATTGGTGACAAAGGTGCATCAGACTTAGGTTCTGGTTTAGCAAAGTGCATTAATCTCTCAAATTTAAATCTTTCCCTTACGTAAAAACAGTTTACTTGTTTTGCATTGACATATTTTTAATTATAAAAACTAATTTAAAAGAATAAAGCTCTTTTTTCTATTACTTTTTTTGTGCCTGCTTTTTTTTCTACTTTCTTTTTTGATTTAAATCATTCATAATTTTATTTTAAACTTTTGCTTTTATTATTAATGAATTAATCTTATTATTTCATATTATTTCTTTATTTTTTTTTTCTAATTTACAAATTAATTATATATTTTTTCTTCAAAATTTAAAAGTAGCAATAAAATTGGTTCGATGGGTGCATCAGGCTTAGGTTCTGGTTTAGCAAATTGTATTAATCTCTCAAATTTGAAACTTCTCCTTATGTAAAAACCAATTACTTGTTTTGCATTGAGATATTTTTAATTATAAAAACTAATTTAAAAGAATAAAGCTCTTTTTTCTATTACTTTTTATTGTGCCTGCTTTTTTTTCTTCTTTCTTTTTTAATTTAATCATTCATAATTTATTTTATTTTCAACTTTTGCTTTTATTATTAATTAATTAATTAATCTGATTTATTATTTCATATTATTTCTTTATTTTTTCCTTCTCATTAACAAATTAATTATTTATTTTTTCTTCAATATTTAAAAAGTTAAAATTAAATTGGTGACAAAGGTGCATCAGACTTAGGTTCTGGTTTAGCAAATTGCATTAATCTCTCAAAGTTGACACTTTAATTTAAGTAAAAATAGTTTTTTTGTTTTGGATTGCTATATTTTTAATTATAAAATGAAATTTATAAGAATAAATATCATTCAATTTATTTGATAGGTTTTATTTGATTTATTTTTCTTTCTTTTTTATTCCAATAATGTTTTTTAATTTATTTATTAATTTAAGAAATAATTTTTAATTTAAAAGTTTTTTTTATTTAATATTTATTAAAATATACACAAATATATATAGAAGAGGTAACTTAATGAATGAATCATAAAAATTCAAAGTAATAAGAAAGTGTCTTAAATAAAAAAGATTAGTTGTCTTTAAAAATAATTATTGATAATAAAAAAGTAGCGCAAAAAATATTGATAAATATTAAATGTTTGAATAGCTGAATATTATAAGTTTTGTTATATAATATTTATTTTGAAAAAATTCTTTTTATCTAAAATATAGAGAGATAAATTTTATTTTTTTTTTATTTATAAATCATATTTTTGTTAGTAAATTTGCATATTACCCCAAGAGAATTTAGACAAAAAATTAACAAGCCTCCCCTGTAGGAGTATTGACAATAGTTTTAGAATAATTACTAGATTTTTTTTCAAATAAGACTAACTAACCATCTCTAATTCCTACTATATTTTTAAATATATGTTTCAAATACAAATATTAAGTTTAAATAATTAATTAATTTTTTTTATGATATCTCTTTTATAAACTCAAATTTGATACTTATTAATTATATTTTTTTGTACTTTTTATCTATTAATAATTAATTAAATTCCATATAAATTGCTATTCAATATTTTTGAAAAAAATAAAATAAAATAAATGATATAATAGAGTAAATATTACTAAGAATTGGAAGAAGTAATTATTAATTTTTTTATTAATATCCTTTAAATTTATCTTTATTAATAAAAAAAGTTTTTAAACTCTTCGCTTTAGTCTCATTAGGTTCTCCATATTGATCTCACGTATATTTAATTTATAAATATTATTAATATATTTTTAAAAATTCACTTTCAATTTATTTTAAAAAAATAATTTTAAAATAGAAATTGTCATCATTATTTATTGATTTTATTAAAACAAAAATTTAAAAACTATTTTAATTTCAATTTATAAGTATTTATTGTTCATTTTTTATTATTTGATATTTTTTCTTAATTTTTTGATATTAACACTTACGCTTGATAAAAACAGTTTATTTATTTATTTTGAACTGTAATATTTTTAATTATAAAAATAAATTTAAAATATGAAAGCTCTTTCAATTTGTTTGATTTATTTTCTTTTTACTATTTATTGGGCTTGCTTGCTTTTCTTTCTTTGTTAATTTAACTAATTATAAATTAATATTATTATTTCATATTTTTTCTTCATTTTTTCCTTCTAATAAACTCATTAATTTTTTCTTCAATATTTAAAAAGTTACGGTTATATCAATCATGAATGTAGATCAAAATTAGGTTCTGCTTTATCAAATTGTATTAATCTCTCAGATTTAACACTTGATCTTCAGTAAAAATAGTTTATTTATTTTTAGATTGCAATATTTTCAATTTGTAAAAACTAATTTAAAACAATAAAGCTCTTTTTTATTTTTCTATTTATTGTGCTTTAATTTTTTTATTCTTTTTTGTTAATTTAATTCATCATTTTATTTTTAACTTTGGCTTTAATTATTAATTAATTAATCTTATTATTTCATATTATTTCTTCATTTTTCTTTCTAATTAACTAATTAATTATTTTTTTTCTTCAATATTAAAAAAGTGACATTTAAATTAATGATGAAGATGTATCAAACTTAAGTTCTGGTTTAGCAAATTGCATTAATCTCACAAATTTGTCACTTTACCTTGAGTAAAAATAACTTATTTATTTTGGATTGTGATATTTTTGATTAAAAAAACTAATTTAGAATAATAAAGCTCTTTTTTGTTTTTCATTTTATTGTGCCTGCTTTTTTATTTTCTTCATATTTTATTAATCTTAATGTTGATTATTTTTTCTTCACTTTTTCCTTTTAATTAACTAATTAAATATATATTTTTTCTTGGAAATTAAAAAGTGCCAATTAAATAACTGATAAAGGTGCTTCATTCTTAGGTTCTGCTTTAGCAAATTGTATTAATCTCTCAAATTTGAAACTAAGCCTTAGGTAAAAACAGTTTATTTGTTTTGGATTGTTATATTTTTAATTAAAAAAACTTATTTAAAACAATAAAGCTCTTTTTTCTTTTTATTATGCTTACTTTTTTGTTCTTTCTTTCTTTCTTTCTTTCTTTGTAAATTTAATCATAATTCTATTTTCAATTTTTGATATTATTATTTATTAATCTTATTATTTCATATTTTTTCTTCATTTTTTCATTCTAATTAACTAATTAATTATATATTTATTTTTCTTCAATATTCAAAAGTGGCAACTAAATTGGTGATAAAGGTGTATCAAGCTTAGGTCCTATTTTTGCAAGTTGCTTTAATCTCTCAAATTTGACACTATACCTTTAGTAAAACTAGTTTGTTAATTTTTTATTGTTATATTTTTAATTATAAAAACTAATTTTTTATCATTTTCTTTTTATTGTGCTATTTTTTTTTGTTCTTTCTTTAATAATTTAACTCGCATTTTCTGCAAAATAACTCATTAGTTATTTATTTTTTCTTCATTACTTAAAAAGTAACAGTTAAATTAGTTGTGAAGGTGCTTCAGTCTTAGGTTCTTAATTAGCAAATTGCATTAATCTCTCTAATTTGACGCTATATTTTAGGTAAAAATAGTTTATTTATTTTGGATAGTGATATTTTTAACTAAAAAAATTAATTTAAAACAATAAATATCTTTTATCATTTTCTTTTTATGGTGTTTGCTTTTTCTGTTCTTTCTTTGCTAATTTAATTATCATTTTATTTTTAAATTTTTACTTTTGTTTTTAATTAATCCTATTATTTCTTCATTATTTCCTTCTAATAAACTAATTAAATAAATATTTTTTCTTCAATATTTAAAAAGTGACAATTAATTTGGTGATGAAGGTGCATCAGGCTTAGGTTCTGCTTTAGCAAATTGCATTAATCTCTCAGATTTGAAACTTGATCTCGTGTAAAAACAGTTTATGTGTTTTGGATTATCATATTTTTAATTATAAAAACTAATTTAAAGCAATTAAGCTCTTTTTTTCTTTTTCTTTTTATTGATTTTGCTTGCTTTTTTTTCTTTTTTCTTTGGTAATTTAACTCACCATTTTATTTTTTGCTTTGATTTTATTATTAATTAATCTTATTATTTCATATTTTATGTAATTTTTAGCATGCAATTAGCTTAGTAATTATTTTTCTTTTCTTGATTTAAAAAGTGGTAATAAAATTGGTACAATTGGTGCATCAGCTTTATGTTTTGCTTTAGCAAATTGCGTTAATCTCTCGAATTTGACACTTAGCCTTAGGTAAAAATAGTTTAGTTGTTTTAGATAGTGATATTTTTAATTAAAAAAACTTATTTAAAACAATAATGGTCTTTTTTCTTTTTATTTTTATTGTGTTTGCTTGGTTTTTTTCTTTTTTCTTTATTAATTTTACTCATCATTTTATTTTAAATTTGGTTTTTATGATTTATTCTATTTATTTCATATTTTTTCTTCATTTTTTCCTTCTAATAAACTAATTAAATATATATTTTTTCTTCAATATTCAAAAAGTGACAATTAAATTGGTGATAAAGGTGCATAAAACTTAGGTTTTGCTTTAGCAAAAAGCATTAATTTACTAAATTTGGCGCTTGATCTTCGGTAAAAAAATTTTATTTGTTTGAATTGTATTATTTTTATTAAAAAACTAACTAAAAAATATTTATTTTTTTTTCTTATTATTTTTATTGTTCTTGCTTTATTTTGTTGTTTCTTTGTTAGTTTAACTAATTATTTTATTTTCAATTTTAGCTACTATTATTAAATAATCTTATTATTTCATTTTTCTTCATTATATCCTTCTAATTAACTATATATATTTTTCTTCAATATTTAAAAAGTGGTAATTAAATTGGTGATGAAAGTATATCAAGCTTAGGTTCTGCTTTAACAAATTGCATTAATATCTCAGATTTGGCACTATACCTTGAGTAAATTTTGTTTATTTATTAATATTTGTGGATTATGATATTATTAATTGTAAAAACTAATTTAAAACAAAAAAGCTCATATTTCTTTTTCTTTTTATTGTGATTGCTTTTTTTTGTTCTTTCTTTGTTATATAATTTAACTCATAATTTTATTTTAAACTTTTGATTTTATTTAATTAATTAGTTAATCTTATTACTTCATATGATTTCTTCATTTTTTCCTTTTAATAAACTAATTAATTATATATTTTTTCTTTAATATTCAAAAAGTAACAATTCAATTGGTGATGTAGGTGTAACAGGCTTAGGTTCTACTTTAGCAAATTGTATTAATCTCTCTAATTTGGTACTAACCCTTAGGTAAAAAAGTTTACTTTTTTTAAATTATGATTTTCTATTTAAAAAAATTATCGAAAACAATAAATCTCTTTTTTCTTTTATTTTTATTGTGAAGCTTTTTTTTGTTCTTTCTTTCTTTGCTAATTTAGCATATAATTTTATTTTGAACTTTTACCTTTATTATTAATTAATCTTATTATTTTATTTTATTTCCCACTTTTTCCATCTAATTAGCTAAGTAATTACAAATTTTTTTTCAATATTCAAAAAGTGATAATAAAATTGGCGCAATTGGTGCATCAGGCTTAGGTTCTGGTTTAGCAAATTTTATTAATCTCTAAAATTTGACACTATACCTTTAGTAAAATCAGTTTATTAGTTTTGGGTTGTGATACTTTTAATTATAAAAACTTATTTAAAAAAACAAAGCTCTTTTTTTTTATTGCTCTTGCTTATTTTTCTTCTTTCTTTCTTTGTTAATATAATTATAATTTCATTTTTAAATTTCGCTTTTATTATTAATTAATTAATCTTATTATTTCATATTTTTTCTTCATTTATTCCTTCTAATTAACTTTTTAATTAGAAATTTTTTCTTCAATATACAAAAAGTTACAACTAAATTGGAGATAAAGGTGCTTCGGATTTAGGTTCTGCTTTAGCAAATTGCCTTAATCTCTTAACTTTGACATTATACCTTTAGTAAAAAGAGTTTATTAGTTTTGGATTTTATTTACAACTTTTGCTTTTATTATTTATTAATTTTATTATTTTGTATTTTTTCTTCACTTTTTCCTTCTAATTAATTATTTATTTTTTGTTCAAAATTCAAAAAGTGGCAATAAAATTGGTGTAAAAGGTGTATATGGCTTAGGTTCTAATCTAGCAAAGTGCGTTAAACTCTCAAATTTGACACTTAGCCTTAGGTAAAAACAGTTTATTTGTTTCGGATTGATATATTTTTAATCGTAAAAACTAATTTTAAGCAATAAAGCTCTTTTTTTCTTTTTCTATTTATTGATTTTTCTTCTTCTTCTTTCTTTGTTAATTTAACTCATCATTATATTTTCAGCTTTGATTTTATTATTAATTAATCTTATTATTTCATATTTTTCTTAATTTTTTTCTTCTAATTAACTAATTAATTTTTTATTTTTTCTTCATTATTCGAAAAGTGACAATTAAATTGGTAGTGATGGTGCATCAGTCTTAGGTTCTACTTTAGCAAATTCCATTAATGTCTCTAATTTGACACTTGAACTTTAGTAAAAACAGTTTATTATTTTTGGATAGTGATTTTTTAATTATAAAAACTAATTTAAAACAATAAAACTCTTTTATCTTTTTCTCTTTTATTGAGCCTAATTTTTTTTATTTTTTTTCTTTATTAATCTAACTCATCATTATATTTTAAAATTTTGCTTTTATTTTTAATTAATAATATTTTTTTTCTCTCTTCATTTTATCCTTCTAATTAAATAATTAATTAAATATTTTTTCTTCAATATTTAAAAAGTGCAAATTAAATTGGTGATCAGGGTGCATTAGGCCTATGTTCTGCTTTAGCAAATAACAATAATTTCTCAAATTTGACACTTAACCTTAGGTAGTTCTAAAAACTAATTAAAAAACAATAAAGTTCATTTTACTTTTTCTAGCTTTTTCTTCTTTTATGTTAATCTCTTCATTCTATTTTTTATTATTATTAATTAATTTTATTTAAAATTATTTCTACATTTTTTCCTTCTAATTAACTAATTAATTAAATATTTTACTTCAATATTTAAAAAAGTGACAATTAAATTAATGATGAAGGTGCATCAGGCTTAGGTTCTGCTTTAGCAAATTGTGTTAATCTCTCAAATTTGAAATTCGATCTTCGGTAAAAACATTTTACTTGTTTTGGATTGTGATATTATTAACAAAAAAATGAATATAAAACAAAAAAGCTCTTTGAATTGATTTGATAAATTTGATTTGATTTGTTTTTTATTATGTTTTTTATCCCACTAATATTATTTTATTTATTAATTAATTAAAGAAACAATTTTTAATTTAAGAGTTTATTTTATTTAAAATTATTTTTAAATTTACTCAAATTTATAATAATAGTTTTAATCAAATCAACGAATCATAAAAATTCAAAGTAATAAGAAAGTGTCTTAAATCAAAAAGATTAGTTGTTTTTGAAAATAAATTCTGATGATAAGGAAGTGGCGAAAAAAGGATGAGTAGATATTAAATGCTTGAATAATTAAATATTTTATGTTTTATTATCTAATATGTTGAAAAAATTTTTTAAATCTAATATAACGAAACATAGATAGATTATGTTTATTGTTTTTATATTTATAAATATCATATTTTTGTAAGTTAATAAATAGATTATAAATGATAAAAAACAATTAAATTTTTTTAATTTTTTGTATTATATTGTATCATATTAAATAATATAAATGGATCTTTTTATATTATAGTTAGATTTTAATCTTATTGCTGAGATATGGATCTTAACATAGTCGGGTAGGACTTGACAACTTTTTGAAACATACTATATATATAAATGACCAATTGTATTTGTTATTTTATATAGATATATAGATTTTTTATTTATCTATTAATTTTATTATTTTATATATTATATTTCAGAAGGAAGGGCAACTGCATTAGAAAACTACTCCTGATGGAGTATTATAGACATCAGGATGACAATCAGTACAAAGCATTTTGATATATGTTTCGTTTGGAGGAGTTTAGTTAAAATCACTGTACATAGCATCTCTATAACGCTAAGCAACAGAACATCCTCTATCAACAAAAGCTCCATCGGCCTCCCTTAAACCTCCTGGATATTCTGCTACAGGGTTATGCATAATAGCTCTATAATTTCCTTCTTAATCTCTTTCATATCTTACTTCATACATAAAATCATCATATGATTATTAAGGACCAGAAGTGCAATCTAACCAATTTTCATCAGTCCTGTTCAGACAGCGTTCAGCAGCTTTAAGCTCGAATTATCTTCTTATATTAAAGCTTGGAGAAAGATGATGGCATTAACCATTTCCTTAAATTGCCCAGGCTATTCTTGGTCCAACCCTCTCAAGTCTTCTTTATTCTCTGATTTGAGCTTAGTAGCTTTCTTATCTTTATCTCATTGAATCTATTCTTCTTGCAATAGCTTGTGATAAATTTGCTCTTACTTAAGGATTTGCAGCCATATACTCCCAAGATAAGAATCTATTAATCTTCAACAAAGCAGGATTTTTACTAATTGTCTACTCCCAATTTGCGCCATCCTCAGGATTTCCTCCAAACTTATGATCCAAAGTGACTTATCTTCTTGCTGTGAAGAATCCTTCAGCTTAATTTCCATGCAGTTCATGACGCAAAGCTTAAATTACTTGCTCAGTTGAAATACCTCCTGAAAATTAAGGAGTAAAAAATACACAGTCTTTAAAGATAGTTTGTTTTTCAATCATACCACCAATTAAAGTATCCACTGCAATGTGAGTACCCCAAGCATTTAAAAATTCGTTATAGATTTCTTCTTAATAATCTTCAGGCAATGAGTCAATGGCTCTCTAAGCGAATCTATTTAGCTTTAAATTATCAGTCTTGAATGCCATTCTGATTACATTTTTTGGTTATTAAGCAATAGAAGTATATTAATTACCTCTGAAAAATTTGTTGAAAACATCAATTAAGTCTTTCGATGAGCTATACTCTCCTCCAAGCCACTATCCATTCTTTGTAGCATCAAGCCAAATATTTGTGAGTTCGAATTCATTTTTGTAAATTCTTATGTCATCATCAGAATCTGCTTATAATATATTTGTTTCATCAGCGATAATAAATTAACTATTAGTAAGAGGGTCAGTGTAAATTTATTCTTAACTTGGTTCTTAAGGATATGAAAGCTAGATAGCAGGTAGCTTAAGTTCACCTGTAGATATATCAAACGAAGCTCCAATTCCTGATGGCATTTTTGTGATACCTTGTTGTTGTAGTTATCTTTTGTGAGCAGCAGTTGTTTCTTGAGGACAATAAATACCATAATAACCTGGGAAAGGACACAGCTCTTCCATAGCCTCCTCAATATTACTAGAAGACAGCAACTTATACATAGTTTTCTTACTATGTAGCGTTTGTGAATTAACTAATATCAACAGTATTGATATACATATCAGTATTTTTTTTAATACCATTTTAAACTTTTTTTTTGATGTTTATTTCTAGTTTTTTTTGTTTATAATCAAAAGAAATAAACCAATTTAAAAAATAAAATATGTAGAAAAGATTTTTTAATAGAAATTTAAGTTTTCTGATAGTTAAAAAATCATCAAAAATATTAAATCTAATGAGGTTAGGGTTATTAATTTTATAATTAAAATAATATATAAAATATAGAACAAAAAGAGATTTCACTGATGAATTTTGTCAACAGATTTGAATTGAAAAATTTATGAAAGAATAATAATATAAGTATCGACAAAAAAATTAATTAATTTTTCATTTAAATAGCTAAAATTAGGAGTGTAATCGCAAGAAAGGTAAAATTTTACTATTTAATATCCAATAAATACATGTAAACTTTATTTTTCTATATTTCAAAGTTTAAAAATTCTTTTTAGTTATTTTCTTAAAGTTGTTTTACAAAAGCAAATAAATTAAATTTTTTATTGAAAATTGCATTCTAAAAAATGATCACAATTTTCCCCTAAAATTATAATTCTAAATTTAATATAAATAATAGAAGAAAAAACAGAAAATATTTGCTAAGAAATCAAGCAAAAATATACAAAATAAAATGATAAAAAATTAAAAAATAATAATAGTTCCAATATACCTGAATTTTCAATGAATTTAAAGATCAAAATATCATCAATTAATAGATTAATTATTACACTTTAATAAAATTTTATAAAGCACAAAAATTTTATCTCTTTTATTTATGAATTATGAATATTAAAATTTAAATTTTCAAAGTAGTATAACAAAATTTAATATATTAATTTCATACTTTAACACCATATAAAATTAGTATAGTTATTAGAGCTATTTTAAAAACAATTCTAACATTAAAAACAAAAAATATACCTAATATTGTGATAGTAAATAAATAAATGATTAATTAAGTGTAAAGATAAATTATAACAATCTTAGATAAAATAAGGGTATGCTAAGTAATTAGAAAATAGAAAAAGTCAAAATAGTTTGTTTTAAGATTAATTTTACTTTACCTTAACTTACTTCAAATGAAAAGTAATACTTCTTAGTTATTTTTAATTTATAAAGATTCCAAATTAATAACATAATAAGTACAATTAATTTATATATTAATGGAAAAGAAAAATGATTTTTTAAAAATAAAAAAATTGTACAAAGACATTATTTAAAGTATTATTTATAAATCTATTAGATCTGTAAAGGATAGAATGAGCTCTTACATTTATTTAAGAATTAAAATTTTAAATATAGCTTAAAATGTTAAGAAGAAAATAATTTGATTTATTAAAAATAATTTCAAATTTTTTCTTCATTTTCCCTTCTAATTAACAAATTAACAAGGCTTTCTTCTTTATTTCAAAACTGAAAAGTAAATAAGCTCAAAAGGTAGGTATATTTTGCTGAAGTTCTATTTACAAAGTATATAATCTCTCTTTTGCATTTTTATGTATATTATCCTATTTTTCTTCTGAATTTAAATTATTATTTAAGGTAACTCTTACAGAATTTGAATTCGTAATTAGTATAAATTCATAGAAAATGTATGGGTTTTGTAGAGATTAAAAATTTTCTAAAAATTTCAGAAAAATGGGGAAAAGTATGAAGAAATATACAATCATAAAATTTAATATATATTTGAGAATTTTATTTCATAATTTTTATATTTTTTGTTTAATAAATAAATAAACCATAGAATTTTTTTATAAACTCTAAATCAATCCTTAACACTATTCAAGATTTATTTTGCGAAATCTAAAGCATCAAAGAGAAATGGAATTGAATCTGGTTTTTTGTCATTTTCACTGATATTTTTTTATCCTGAAAAACTTTCTACTGAACTTTCTTAAGTTTGTTAAGCTAATTTTTCTAACTTTTCATTAGCTTTTTATTCATTTTTTTAAAATTTCTTAGTTTTTTTAGATTCACTTTCATTTTATTCATTAGCTTCTACTTTAGTGTTTTTTTAATTTTCTTCATTTGTAATATTTTTAAAATCTTTGTTGTCATTTGTTTGAAGTGATTCTTTTTAAATTTCTGCTTTACAATCTTTTTAAGTATTGCTAAATACTTCATCTAATTATTTCATAACTTCTAATCTCTCTTATTTTTCTTAGTCTGATAAAGAGTTGAAGATTTATTACAAAGATGCATCTTTAAATATTATTTAGTTTTAAATAGAAGTAGAAGTATTGCTAGTAGAGCTTTAACATTATTGAGGTTATGAAATTTAAGTAGGTCTTATGAAATTGCTAGCTATTGATTACGATTATCTTAGTAAAGGACATTTAGGTCTTATATGCCCTAATTAATTACAATTATAACATCTGATTCTATTATTACTATTATTTTAATAACAATCACTTGCGTAATGCCCTTTTTTATAACATTTAAAGCAAGTTACTGAACTATAGTAATAGTTATCATAACTATAGTCATCAGAATCATCCCAATCATTTAAGTAATCATCTTCGTCACTAGAATAGCTCATTTAAGTTTATATATTTTTATATTATAAAAGGTCTCTTATTTATGAGAAAACTAGTTCTAATCTGTGAATTTTTTTATTAAAAATGTTTTGATAATTTAATAATTACTTATTTATTGTTATTATTATTTATTTATATTTTTTTTATAGATAATAAATAATTGATACAAATAAAATTGATATAAAGATTTCTTTTATTACCCCACTTTTTTGAGATATTTTTATTTTATTGACGAAGAAATCTCGTCATAAAACTTGAGATATTTTTATTTTTTTAAGTACTATTCTTTTTGAGATATTATTCTTTTATTGGTATATCTCTTATTTAGAGATATTTTTATTTTATTTTCATTTTCAAATTGATTAGTAATTAAAATAAATATAAAGTATTCAATGAATACAAAAGTACTTTTTTAACTAGCTTAATGTTGAATAAATATATTATTATTAATCAAAAAATAAATTGCTCAAAAATATTAAAGTAAAAAAGTATTTGTGTTATATTTAATTAATATATAAATATAAGTTAAATTTAAAGTAGAATAAGAACATTTGATTGATTAAATTTTAAAAGTAAATATTAATAATTATTTTGGCGAAGTTTTATAATCATAATTTAAAAAGATACATAAGATATATGGAGATTTATAAAAATTTTAAGTATAATTTTACAAGTAATTAATAATAGTAATAGTAATATATATTTTATATCTTTTTTAAAGGAATTCAAATTACTTTTGTTTGAAAAATACATCAAAAAAACTGATATATTATCTATCATCATATATAGAATAGATTTTGTTTATTCATCATTCATTATTTGTTTATTTGCTTATTCTTGTGGCTTGTATGTTTGTTTGTTTGTGTGTTTGTGCGAGAATTTTTATTATTATTTATTTATTTATTGATAAATATTTGAGTTTAAATATTTTCTATTGTAGTATGTGAGAGTATTTTTTATTTTATTATAAAAAATGTAAGATTAAAAAGAGATTTTAGTATCAATATTTTTGATTAATAAGCTATTCATTTTTTTATAAACAAATGCTTGTTGGTTGATTTATTCATTCATTGGTTAATTTCATTATTTTTTATCATGTAAGCAAACACGAAGTGCATCCCAGAGGATTTCGCGTCTAAAGTAATCTCCTTATTCAGACTTAAGTAGTGAGTAAGACATTAAGTATTATTTCTTTCTGTAGTTAATTAAATCATATAGTCTTTTGACTTCATTTTATTCCTATAATAAAATATATTCAGATTAATTCTACCAAAAAACAAAAATTTTAGATATCATAATTAAATTCGATAAAACAAGAGTAAAAATAAATGAAAATCAAAATTCTTCTTATTTAATTTAAATGACAAAAATTTAAATAAACAAATTACTTCAGTAGTATCTATGTGACATTGTTCTAGTAAAGGAAGTTAGACCAAAGCCTCTTTTATATATTTATAATTATGCAAGTGTGTCCACCTATTTATTTATTACTAAAATTAATAACTTATTAATAAATTTTTTTAAATTTACAAGTCGAAATTGAGGTAAATATGCTTGAGATTTTGTAAGTTCACTAAATATTATTTAAGATCTTGTAAACTAGTTTCGCTAATATTGTTGTTCAAATATCCCCACCTATTTTACAAATAATTTAAATTACATAAACAATTTCTAAGTAAATTCAAATTTTAAATGATAAAAATGTTAGCAAATTTAATTAATTAATTAATTAATTAATAGATTTTCTTTGTATATTTAACCATTAATTAGATTATTATTTCTTTCTTTACTTATTAATTATCAACCTTGCTTGATTTTCATAATAATATTTATTGGATTTTCGATTAATTTAAATGACATTTATTATTTAAATGAAAATGCATTAAATTACTTTGTAAGATTGATTTTAAGGTCTACTAAATTAACTAGAGTTCCAACACTTTTAAAGATTTAAATAACACTTTGATTAGTTATTTTGTAGTTTTCATATCCCCAACTATTTATTTATTATGAATAAAAAGGAAATGTTTAAAAAACAAAGCATAAGAAAATTAATGTTTTACCTTCTTAGATTAATATCGAGACTTCTTAGCTGAGTGAGGGATTAAATCATATCACAAAAACATGAAATTGTTGCATCAGTGTATATTTTTAAATTTCCGTATTTTTCGCATCCCCATCTACCAAAATCTAATTTGAGTGACTTCAAAGTAGGTGATAATATAGTAATAGCATTACAAAGAACAATAAGGCATTCAGTCTTTATGTTAGAATTATAATAGCCCCATCTATTTAATTTAAATTAAATTAGTTATATTATTTGCTTTAATCGTTAACCAATCAATATTTATTTTCGAAAGTAATAAAAATAAGCAAAAAGAATATTTGGTTATTGGAATATAGAGTTTTTTTAAAAAATAATATACAATTTGTATTGTTTTTTGTGTGTAAAATACTTGGAATATCACAAAATACAAATGAAATAATGAATAAATCAATAAATGATCAAATTATTTGTTTAATTTTTCTTATTGATGGATTAATAATTTTTCGATTTGTATTTTTTTAAATTCTAATAGATTAATGAAAGTAGTTTTTTAGGTATTTTCTCTCTATTTATAAAGTTCTATTTATAATTTTATTGATTTTTAAAATTTTGTTGATTTGTATGCAAAGAATTTTACTTGCTAACTAATTATTTAATTTATTTATTTATTTACTAACTAACTAACAACTTTCAAATAAGTAGCAAACAAGAAATCAAGCAATAACAAAAGAAATTAATTTTTTACTGGAAAAAGTTTAGCGAAAGTGATTCCAGCTATTTTAAGCTGGATAGCATCATGCAAATTGAATAAATGGGTTCCATGTCTATTTCTTGATTGGATTCAGACTAAGAAGGGAAGGAAAGCTTTAATTCTTTGATGTTTTTGTATTTTTTCTCAATAACTGAAGTCAATGTAGAAATAGAGCGAGCTTTAAATGAATCTTTGAAGAGGGTATTTGTTGATTTGTTTTTTACATTCAGTGGTGCTTCAAATTTAAATGCAGTAGCCTTGTTATCTGTATTAATTTTTGCTATGAAATCATCGAATTACTTTTATGTGAGCTCTTTTTCAACCCTATTTATTAAAATTTTATATTTTTAAGTAAATTTTTTGTTATTTAAAGCACATCAAGCGTTATTGAATAATTTCTGTTCTACAAATTTTCAAGTGATTGATTTTTTGATTAATCTAATAAATAGGTAAGTAGTAATAGAACTATTTATTCAATAAGCATGTGCAAATAATTCAAAAAGCAAGGCAATAGTTGCAAAGCAAAAATAATTCTACTTGAAAACAACTGCATTCTGCTTTTAGTTTAAGTAAGTTTCTTCTTTATCGCTAGCAGAGCTCTTTCTACTTTCTTGCCTTTGCAATGAATATCTATAAATAAAATAATGAATATTTAGCAACATCCTAGCAAAGAAAAGCATGATTGCAAATTATTGTTTTATTTACGTCTTAATGTCTTTATTTACGCGAATATTTTCATTTGCGACATCATCCGAGTCAGAGATAGATCTGCTTATGTTTTCTGTATTCTTTGAATTGACTATATTTCCCATTATTAATTTGCTTTTTGCCTTTTTAAATCTACAAATTGTTTTAAAATTATAATTAATTAGTTTTTATCAATTTATTAATTCTTTTCTACTTAATTAAACCTTCCTTCATATAAACATGCAAATATATATACATACATTCCTACCTACCTACTTCCCAACCAATATTTAATAGAAGCCTTTTTTAATTTTCAATTTATTCCAAAAAAAACAAACAAACAAGCAAAGCTAATTCATTTCAACATTAGCATCTGTTTTACTATAAAATAACGTCCAATTAATTCAAGCTAAAACCTCTCTATATTTCAGTTATCAAAAAATTTAAATAAAATTTGATTTGTAATATCACATATTTATAAAATGGTGCTGTTTATTTAAATACATGGAGAAGTTCTTAGAGTAAGGCTCAATAATTTCATTTATTATTGTAAATTGCCAATCCTAATCAAAATAAATAAATAAATGAATGAATGAATCTAAATAATTTAATTTATTCAGAATTCAAAATCTACAAAATATAAAAAATCTATTTGATTTTTAAAAAGATAATGAAATGCAAATTTTAATCTGAAAGAAAATAAATTTTTTATTTTAAATTTATTAGTTTTTAAAAACTGCGATGAGGTCATAAGTATCTCTTTTGAATTAAATAAAAATAGACAATTTAATTTTTTAAATTGTTGCCCAGTGTATTACATTCATTGTAAATTTTTGAATTCTATTCAATTTTTATCTTCTACATCTTAAAGAATCATCAAATATTATTATTTTTTATTAGTATTTTATGCGTTTTTTATTTATTCAACTTAAGACATCTTTCAATTCAATTAATTTAATAAATTATAAGTTTAATTTTGTTAAATGGAAAAAAAATATATTTTCAAAATTTTATTTTTATAAATTATAATTAAAAAATCTTTAAAAAGCTAAACTATTTTGAAGATAAGACAAGCTTTATTATGATAAAGAAATTAGTTAAACTTAGTTAAATAAAGTAGTTAAACATCATTTTTTTAAAGTTTTACTGCTTAAAACAAAATTGGAAAAAAAAACTTAAAAAATAAAATAATTTTTCAAAAGAAAAATTGTTTGTCAATAATTTATTTATTTTTTTATTAAATAATATGGGAGGATTATTTGTTTAATTTGAAGGTAGTTAAAGATAAATAATAAAATTAAAAAATATTTAAAATATTTACTAACTAAATACTTAGATAAATTGTTTTTGAGTATGAAAAAAATAATTATATTTATTTTTATATATTAAGCTGTATTCATAAATATATTTTTCTTAGGGGTTTGAAAAAATTACTTGTATAATTATAAATTGTTTGTTTGAAAATTTAAAATATTTTTCTTAAAAATTGCTATTTCATGTTTAATCTGATAGATAAATATTTTTTAATTTTAAAAAAATTGAAATAGTATAAAAAAAATAATTCATTAAAAGAATTTAATTTATAATTTTTATCAAATAATTTCGAAGGATTGTTTATTTAATGTAAAGAATGTTTATAAAAGTTAAGGATAAATAATAAAATTAAAAAATATTTAAAATATTAGCTAACTACTATTGAGCTAAATTTTTTTTGAGCATCACAGAAATAATCGTATTTATTTTAATATATTAAGCTGTATTTATAAATATATTTTTCTTAGAGGTTTGAAAATTATTTGTATCATTTTAAATTGTTTGTTTGGCAATTTAAAATTTAATTCAATTTTGCTTAAAAATTATTATTTCAATTTTATTTAATAATTAATATCAATAAAAAAATTTATAGGCAATAATTTATCTATTCTTTTTTATTAAATAATATGCAATTATTTGTTTGATGCAATGGAAGTTAAAGATAAATAATAAAATTAAAGATTATTTAAAATATTAACTAACTAACTAACTAACTACATTTCTATATTATTTTTTAGTAAGACAAAAATAATTATATTTATTTTAATATATTAAGCTTTATTCATAAATATTTTTTTTTTAGGGTTTGAAAATTATTTTTATTTTTTATTATTAATTTTTTGTTTGGCAATATAAATTTTAATTAAATTTTCCTTAAAAATTACTATTTAAATTTTATTTAATAATTAATTTCAATAAAAAAATTGATTGTCAATAATTTATCTATTCTTTTTTATTAAAAAATATGGAAGGATTATTTGTTTGATAAGAATGATTTACATGAAAGTTAAGGATAAATAATAAAATTAAAAATATTTTAAAATATTAACTAACTAACTAACTAGATTTCTCTTTTGATTTTGAGTAAGACAGAAATAATTATATTTATTTTAATATATTAAGCTGTATTCATAAATATTTTTTTCTTAGGGGTTTGAAAATAATTTTGTATAATTAAAAATGGTTTGTTGCCAATTTAAAATTTAATTTAAATTTCTTAAAAGATTGCTATTTCATATTTAATCTAATAAATATTTTTTTTCATTACTGAGACTGCTAAATTTGCTACTTGTAGAGAATTCTCTACAAGAGTGATGCAGGAGCTCTAGTAACTTCTTCATAATATTTCATGAAATCAAATTTGGGTTCACGAGTATATTTGAAAAAGCTTCTTATGTTTGTGGCGTTATGGATGTGCATTAAGAAGGCCATCATATCTTAATTTTCTAGGAAGTTCTATTCAAAGCAATATTGCTTGAAGAATGTATAGAATTCGCAGAGTGCTTGATAATAAATACTATCGAATTTGTTTTTTTCTATCAATGTTTTATTGCATATGCTTTGCATCATTTTTACTTATTCCTCTTCTTCTTTTTTAATTGTTTTGCTTTGAATCAAATTTTCAAAATAATTTCCTGCCTTCTTCATAAGTTCTTCAAAGAATTGCTTAATCACTTCAAAGTCTTTCTCTATGAAATTTAATAATTAGAGTCTTTCTTTACTTTTGACAAAGACTTTCCACTACTCTTAAGTAAATTTCTTGCTTTTTTCCAAAACTTTAGTTTTAAGTCTTTGCTAAATGCGATATATAATCATAGTTTAGTACTTAGAAAGCAAGAACATAACTCTGTAAAAGCTCTGCATATTCATAACAATAATTTACTAATCGAACAAGTCATAAAATTTGATTGTGATGGCATTTAAAAACACTGCTTTATTTCTTCTGTGCAATACCCATTACCCAATTTCTTAAATGATTTTCTTTTTCTAATCTTCTTAAGTGTATTGCTCAAATTTGCTCATGTATTAATCTCTCACACTTTCATTAATTTCTTCTATATTGCTTTAATCTGTGTTGTTTTAAGAAGCTTCCTTTTACAAAGTAGATATGTCTCCCGATTTTGTTTCACTTTTGCAAACAATATTTTTTTAGCTACCAGTCATCTATTCTTCTTATTCTATAGCGTTTTAGTTTTTGGAAGTTTGCTTTTGCAATTTAGCTTCATACAATTCTACATCATGAATGGAGTTGAAAGCTTTCTTTTTCTTGAAGTAATTCTTATTTAGCTCTTGAGTTTTCTTAATTGTCTCTATGTCACCCATTTATTTTTTATGAAGATTTTCTTCCTCCATAGTATGACTTAGTTTCAATCCACTTCCCTTTAATACAACATTTTCCTCTTCAAATTAATCAACTTCCTCCTCTTCCTCTTCCATATCACTAAGGAATATCTTAAATAGATCTTCCCATCCAAGTCTTTTTTCCTCTTCCTTTTGCAACATATTCTTTATCAGTTGCTATGTACGCTTACTGACTACTGGAGCTGATGGAAATTCTAAATTTGTGTTATTTATATTGTTTGCTAAATCAAAAACGCTTTTGGCTTTCCAAGGAGTCTTTCCATAAAGCATTTCATAAAATATAATTCCCAAAGACCAAACGTCTAACTTGCTGCTATAAGTCTAGCAATTTAATATCTAAGGACACATGTATCTATTTTTATTTTAGTTAATTAATCATTCAATAAAATTTATTTTATGAATATTTTATATAAAAGTAATTCTATTTTTTATGTTTAAAAGTAATAATTGATTTCAAGCGATTTAAAAGAGCTAAATATTATTTTTCTAATTGTTTTTTGTTTATTATTTCAAAAATAAATAAGCATAAACGTTAAATTTCAAATAATAATTTTTTTGAGTGTTTTGCTTGCAAATGACATTCTAAAAATCAGTAATTTTAAACAATCTTTTTATTAAAAAAAAATAATTTTAGGATTTACATTGGGGAACCAACTAAAGAAGCTAAATCAGCTTGTTCCATACTATGCTCAACTACTTTAGAAAAACCAAAATCTGCAATTTTAGGTATTCCATCATGTAAAAGAATGTTAGCTGGTTTTAAATCTCTATGTACAATTTTTTATTCGTACAAGCATTTGAAGCCTGAAACTATTTCACGAATAATGCGCAATGTTTCAGTTTCTGATAATCTTTTACCATTTTTATTGAGATAAGATTCTAATGAACCACCATTGCAGTACTCAACTATTAAATAAATATTATTTGAAGATCTTCTAACATCAAGTAATTGCACAACATTTTTATCTTTAATCATTTTCATAGTTTTTATTTCATTTTTAAGTAATTGCATTAATTTATCAGCATTCTTATTCATAGATGTCTAAGAAATCTGCTTAACGGCAACTTGTCTATCACCATTTTTCATATCTATTGCTTGGTAGACTGAACCAAAAGATCCCTAACCTAAAATCTTATCTAAATTAAGGATATAATTATCAACTTGCTTAAATCTTTCAGGAGTCTTCTAAAGATTCATTTACTTATTTTATTTCGCTAATACTTAAAACGCTTGAAATTTCTTTTAATCTTTCTAAAATTCGAAATATTATTTTTTAACTTTTAGTGTTACTATTTCAATATTTTATTAATAAGCTGAATTAAAACTCAATTTTACAAACAAAAAATTTTGATATTGAAAAAAATTGTACCATTAAGAATTAATTGTCTTTATAAATCTCAAAAAAGTTTTGTTATCATGAATATATTTTTTTATTTTGATCAAATCTGAGTTTATTAATTTAAAAATATTTAAAAATCTAACATAAATTTTATCTTTTCTATATTTTAATAAAATTTAAATAAAATCTTATTCATAATTTCATAATAGTTTGTTTAAAATTAAATAATTTTTATTTAAAAATAAATTTAATTATATAAAATTAGATTTAAAAAAAGCACCTTAGAAAGCTTAATTATGCATGACCTAATTAAAGGAATTTATTAGATACGAGAAAAATCAAATGCTAATTTAGAAATAAACCTTCAATTTTAGTAATTTTATGATCCTAAAATACTTATAAATATTTAGATAATTAATTGGCTCTAAAAAACTAAAATTTTAATTGACAAACTATTAAACTTAAAACTTTAATTAATTTAAAGCCGATTTGTCATACTTTGTATTACTTAGAGACTTTATTTATACCTCCTTTTTAAAAAATATTTTAATGGTTGCTAGTTCAAAGAATAGTTTTAACTATTTAAAATTTATTTTAGATCTACTTGTAAAATAAAACCAAAAATAAATCAAAAATTTTTATAATTAATTACAGTTTTAGTTTTGTTTTTCAAAAAATTGTTGTATTTAAATGAAAAAACAAAATGAATAAATGTATTTTTTAACTCTTTTGAAATGTTAATTATAAAAAAATGTATTTAAAACAGTTAAAAATGAATTTTTAGTTAATTTTAGAAAAGTAACTTGTAAAATTAAATTGTTTTATGTTTGAATGTAAACAAAAAAAACTTTAAAAAATGTTTCTCATTTTTTTTACTGACTTATTAAATTTTAAGGCTAATAATTTGTTAACATATTCTTTGAATTTTCAAAATGCCTTTTTAACAATAAACTTAGACTAAATAACAGCATTAAAATACCAAAAGTTGAATTGAAGGAATCATCATTTAAATTTAGTTTTGTTTAAAAATGTTAATTTAAAAAAGAACTTTAAGAACAATAGAAATATTATTAAATTATTTAATAACAAAACTGTTTAGGTATATGGATAAAAATATAAAGCAGACTAACATTTATTTATTTTATTTATTATTATTTATTTACTTAATTAATTACTACTTACTTAATTACGTTTGTAATTAGCTAGATAGACAAATGGTCAGGCAAATTTGCTGACTGATTGATGCTTTTTTTATAGATAGATAGATAAATAGATGAACGACATTCACTTACTTTTCATTTGGTTGAAACAACAGAGTAGAGCAAAGTTTAGATTTGGGATTAGTTCTTTATTAATTAAGCCTTCACATTTGATATCTTATTTCTCTTATCACTGATTTTTTCTTCAATTTCTGCAATTTAGTCTTAGATAGGCTAAAGCATTTCATCAGTCACCTTTAATTCGTTTTACATTTTTTCTTTGTATTACTTGTATTATTTAGTCCAATAATCTAATTCGTGGTTCATGCTTTCGATATCATCAGCAATGAATTCAAGAGATTTTCCTAGTGGATTAACATTTTTAGCTATTTCTTAGACCATCTAGGTTAAAGCTGAAATATCTGCGCCACTTGAAGCACCTTGAAGGACAGCAGTAGTGCCACCAGCAGTTGCAGTAGTAGAACCACCAATAGTTGGCTTTTAATTTCCTATCTTTCTTTTGAATTTAATACCTCCTTAGTTGTCTCCTTCTTCTCCACCTTAGTCTTTTTAAGCAGAAGGCACAATTCCTAGATTATCATTCAATGCTTGATTAGTAAACTTACTAACTCCTTTTCCGCCTGCATTTTCTGGTTGACTGCCTCTGTTATCTGCTTGTTCAGCTTCATTTTGATCATCTTCGTCCTTATCTCCGCGATCAACAATAACTCCAGTTGTGCCCTTTCCTTTACTTTAAGTATCAGCAACTTTAACATTATTAGCTATTTTTGGAGGGGCTTTAGCAGCACTTGATGGACGCATGTTTTGTCTATTTACAGGAACAGGCTCATCAACTTAACCTCCAACACCCTTGCTGTTACTTCTTTCGACTTTAGGCTAACTTGGAGGATCTTCTCTTTTAGGCTTTGGTTGTTCAGCAGGTGGCTCCTATTAAGGTTTCTTTTCTGGCTTCTTTTATGGTTCTTCTCCTCCTTTCTCAGCAGGCTTTTCTCCTGCATCTCCACCACCTTAGGTTTCTTTTTCAATTTTAGCCAATAACTTTTTGACTATACTATTACCCTTTTAGCATAATTCAGGAGTTGTAGCAACTCTATGGAGTTCGCAAAGGAAAGAGTTAGTATGCTCAGGTTCCAAACCAGCAACGATTTTATTGGGTTTGGCCTATAAACTAGATTTGTTAGTATATTAAATCAAATCAATAACCTTTCTCAAAAATAAAATTTTAAGATCTCTATTTTCATAATAATTTGCATCCTTTTCCTAATCTGTATATAATCCTTGTCCAAATCCTGTTGCATCCATAGTTGCTAAGATGATGTCAAATAAATACTTAAAAGGAGGTTTTGCAAGTAGCTTTTCGCTCATAGAAGGTTTTTTAATAAAGCCTGTATATAACTTGATTGTAGGCTCCCAAAATTTATCATCAGCCATTTTAATTCAATTTTTATTGTGAGATATTTATTTTCAATAATTTAAATTCGAAATCGCTTTAAACGTCTCTTTTGCCTAGTTTGAAATTTAAAAATATTTTAGTTTTAAAATTTTCTTTAGATTCGCTTGACTTTAGTCAACAATTTACTTTTTTATTTTAAAGAATGTTATTCTGTTTGTTTATGAACTCTTCGCTTTACTTGCTTAGTTTCTTTTTGTTTGTTTTCCGTTTCAAATGGCTATGGTATTTATTATTCTTATTAATTATTTAATTATTGTTCTTTTTATTTTCTTTCTAAAATTTTTAATTTTTTTCAATTTAAAAAATTCATAATTACAAATCACAAAATATTAAAAAATTAAAGATTTTTGTAATTGTATTTATTTATTACTTGCTTGCTTGCTATTCACTTTTTTATTCAATTTTTCATTTACCTTTCTCTCATTCATTTTATAAGCAAACATTCTTATTGAGTTGATCAAAGACAAAACTGGAAATCACCCAAGCAAAGCATTCAATCAATATCCTTTGAATTAATCCCATAAATAAACTTGATATAATCTGATTTATATTCTTCTATCTTCTATATTATTTGCTATTAATAAATGCTTTCATATTTTTAATATTTAAAAACATTACAATTAATATTCAAACTAATTTGAAAATTCTCTACTAAAAATATTTAAAGTGCAACTCCTTCTTGATTGATTTTAATCCATTTATGTTTTTAAACTAGAATATTTGATATGAATATTTTTTATCATAAGAAATAAAAGTTTATCAAAGATCATTTATTTCTGAAGAACAAAAGGATCTTCTAAAAAAAGAATAATTTGCTCAAAAATTATATTTATTAAAAGGAGCTTTCTTTCTTAGAAAATTACTCCAAAATAAAAAATATTTTTTATTTTTTTAAATAAATTTAAATTTTTTGATTTTAATTTAATTTTACACAATAATTTACCAAATAAAAATTATTAATTTTTTTATCATTGATTTTATTATCGATTTGTATTGAAATAATAAAGAAATAAATATATTAAATTTATGTAGAATATAAAATATTTACTGAAAAAATATATTTATTTATTATTTATGTTATTTGTAGTTAATTTTTGAGTCAGACGATTTTTCTATTATATTTTTTAATTAATTTGCTAATTTTTTCTTTATTTTCTTCAGACATGAAGTCTATTTGCTGTGTAATTTAGAGAGGCTCCGATTCTATTTCAGGAAGCAAAAGAATTTCTTTGCAAAATAAATCTATAAAATAATCTAATTGGATAAAGACTTTGATATTCTTGTAAAACATCAATTCGAACTCTTATGTAATTGGATTTTTATTTTATTTTAGCATATTTAGATGGTGCAAAGTTTGAATAAGTCCTTACTTATATTAAGCTTCTGTATGCTAGAGATACATGCAGTAATCATATAAAGGTTGCTACTTTTGCTTAAGAGGTGCAAAAAATATGTCTTTGAATTTCTATAAAAACATATCATCATACTTGGCTATAAAAGAGTCTACTCTTTCTTGAGTTTCTTTTTACGAAAAAAATGCAGGATTATTGTTTTAAATATATGTGCAATGAAGTCTTAAAACCTCTTCTCTACTCTGCTTGTACTAAGTATCTACTTTGAACTTTTAATAATGTTCCCAAAATGCATTGAATTTATCTTTGAAAAAATTCATTGATATCTGCATAGCCTAGATAATTCTTAATGAGTATTTATCAAGCAATACTTTTGAGTCTTTTATCTTATTATAATCAAATTTATCTACCATGTTTTGGTAGCGAGCTATCACTTGTTCATTGTTTCCACTAAGCAAAATTAATGAAATATTTTGATTAAAAGCATTAAAGTAGAAAGAACCTGGTTTATCCTTTATTTAAAAAGTAATTTCTAAGGCCTTATCTGAAAATTACTGCGCTTCTTGGAATTTTTGGAGTTGCTAAAACAAAACTGAAGCTTTATCACAGTAGAAAAATTCAATTTCTTAACTTATAAGACCAATTTATTTGCTTTTTTCTGCCTCACCAATCATGTAGAAGACATTATCAGGAATAAATGTCATAAATTTATTATTTTCATTCCTCTTTCCATTATATAACTCAAGAAGTTTCTTTGTACATTCAAAGCAATGGTCTAAATAACCCTAATTGAAGTAAATACTACCTAAAGTTGACAATACCATGAAATACTTACCCTATAAAATACCCTTTTCTTCTTCGCTTTTTACTTTTAATAGAGCCTTTTCAATTGATGAAATAATAATTTTGTAAAATTCAATCATATAAAAATCTCCTCTTGAAGTATCATTTGCCATGCACATCATTATCAATTATTTCCCATAAATCAAAAATGCATTCAAATCATTTTAAAAATCTTAATCTCCTACTTATTCTCCTAACTGCTTTAAATAATCCAATAACTTTAAATTTTTGACTTTTTCTTCTTAAATTCTTTTCACCATCAAATCACTCAAGTCCCTTAAATGAGGAAATTATAAATTTACACTACTATTTTCCTCCACGCTAAATAAAAAAGTACCTTTAAAGCCATTTAGCATTTTGAATGGCATAACTTATTTGCTTGATTTTAAAATACTTTATCCTTTAAAAATGAATCTTCTAATCATTAATTTCTATTTTTGCTTAAACACCAACCAATTTTAATAAATGTTTTTTATCAATCAATCTATCAATTAATTGTTAACTTATATTTTTATTTTACAGAATTAAAATAAATTGAGAATATTTCTAGAAAAATTCAACAATTTAATTTTTAATATCAAATTTGCTATTTGAAAACAGAAGAAAAATTTGATTATCTAATTAAAATATACAATTACATTAGATTTATTTAAACTCTTTGCTAACTAATTAGAATTATCCTAATCTTAGCTTGCTAAATATTAATTTTATTAAATCGAATTAAGGAAAAAATTATCAAATTGAATAATATTATAATTGCTTTAATATAATTAATACTTAGATAAAAATATTAAAATAAAAAGGGTGATGATAACAAAGATTTATAAATTAATGAAAAAGAAGAAAATAATCCTAATTTTAATCGACATTCAAAGATATCACCACGAAAGATAGATTCTTCAAAAGGGGGAAGTATAATTTCACAAGAAATTAATATTTTTAAATTTTTATTATCAAAGAATTTGTTGTTTTATATATATCCTTCATTGATTTTTTAATTATTATTTTTTAGAATTAAAAAAATTAAATAATATTCTAAAAAGATGCTTGGAAAAAAATAAAAACTTTATTATAAATAGAAAAAAGGTAATGAAATCAATCAAAATTTAGCAAATATTGATCATAGTGCTGACATCTAAGAGAAAAATTTGACTCTTTTAGAAAAATAAATGATTGAAATGAATGGAAAATTATCTAAATTTATAGATGCATAGCTTAATTTTATGTAAGAAATTAGAAATGAACTTGCTGGAATTAAAAGTGAGCTTGGTGGAATTAAAAGTGAGATTGTTGGAATTAAAAGTGAGATTGTTGGAATTAAAAGTGAGATTGTTGGAATTAAAAGTGAGCTTGGTGGAATGAATTAAAAGTTCAATAGATTTGAAGGATTAGAGGACAATAATTAAGAAAATTGAAGAAACACTATAGTAGCAACAAAAAAACTCCTAAAAACTTAAATATATTTAATAATAATTAACCTAAAAATATATCTAATCTAGTCAAATATAAACAGAATTGATGAAAGAAAATTAATTATTGTAACCAAATTATCAAGTAAATTTTTTTAACATTTTTAAACAATTATTTAAAAAAAAATTATTTTAATTAAAATTTTGAATATTTCAATAGAATATCTAAAACTTTAACAACAAGTATAATAATATAAATGCTTTTATCAATAAATATTTTACTAATTTTAATTGCTTCAGATAGATTCTTTGAATAAATATTAGAAAAAGAATAAAATTTAATTTTAATTTTAAAAAATAGTTTATAAAAATCACAGCTTGTTTGTACTCTATAATACAAGAACTTATTCATAAATAGATTTGATCTTGAGCTAATAGTTTCTTTTTTCAACTGCTTTGCAATTTTAAAGTTCATTTCCACCAACAAAATTGAAGCAGTTGATATCTCTTGGATCTATAATTATCCATATATAAAATTCATAACTTAATCATAAAAGAAATATTATAATAAAATCAGTATTACTTACTTACTTTATACTTTAAAAATATAATTTTTTAATTTACCTTAGCTTATTCAAATTTTTTATGATTTCTTCCATTTTACTTTGTGAAATCAAACTCTTTTTTATGGCTTAATAAATATTTTTCTACATTAGAATACACATTTATCTGTTAAATCTCTCTCACCTCTAAGAATTTAGTAGAATTGTTTATATTTTTGATTCTAATTATTATTTCATTTTTATAGATCATTTCATTTGATTCTAATAAATAAATTTTTTATATTTTATATCAAGATTCATCAATCTCCTAGTAATAAGCATATTCAATACTAAAACTAAAAGTCCTTTTCTTTAGCTAATTCTTTATTAATTCATATATTTTTGATATACATATATTCGTATACTCTATAAAGATAAAAATTGTTTATGAGATATTTTTTAAATAAAGAGTTAACTAAATATTATAAAAATGAAAAGAATCTATTTTTTTGTTTTCTAAATATAATTGTAATAAAGCAAATAAAGACAAAATTCAAATAAAAACCTGTTTATATTTATAAATTTTAAAAGCATAGTTAATTTTGAGCAGCTAATAAAATTGAATTTTATTTATAAATGAATTTTGCTAGCGATTAGCTATTTCTTATGTACTAACATGTGCTTAGTGTTAGTACCAACCATTTTAGATATAGAATAGAAATACTATTATATAATAGTACATAAAAATGCACTCATAAAATATTTAATAATAGTTTTTAATAGTTTATTTATTTTAAAACTTTTGAAACACTTTGACTACGCTATGTGTCATACATACATTCAAAACTCAGAAACTCTGAAACTCAAACAACATACATTATATCATAAATTTTTATAAAATTAATTTTCATAAAATAGTCAATTAAAAGTTAATAAAAGATATTTCCTTAAAAAGGGGGATACATAATTAATTATTCTACAATAGGTTAATATATTTAAATTTTTATTATCAAAGAATTTGATGAATTATATTCTTCATTCATTTTTGAATTATTAATTTTAGAGTTAAAAAAATTAAATATATTGCTTTCAAGTTGCTTGTGTAAAATAGAAAATTTAAATTCTTTATAAATCAAAAAAAGATAAAGAAATTGATCAAATTTTAGTAAATATTGAAACAGTTAGTTAGTTAGTACCTTAGAGAAAAAATTTACTTTTTAGAAATTCATATGATTGAAATGAATATTAAAATTAATAGTCTTAATACCTAACTGATCTAAAAATATAATAATTAAATACAAATAT